TGGGTACATTTAGGTGGGTTTGGGGTGGGTTCAGGTGGATTTAGGGTGGTCTGGGTTGGTTTGGGTACATTTAGGTGGGTTTGGGGTGGGTTCAGATCGATTTAGGGTGGTCTGAGTGGATTTGGGGTGGTCTGGGTGGGTTTCAGTGCATTTGGGATGGTTTTGGGTGGGTTTGAGTGGATTTGGGGTGGTTTGAGTGGATTCGAGAAGGATTTGGGGCGTTTTGGGTGGATTTCGGTGGTCTGGGTAGGTTCAGGCAGATTCGGGGTGGGTTTGGTGTGTTCTGGGTGGATTTCGGGTGTTCTGGGTGAGTTTGGGGTGGGTTTGGGAGCGGCACGAGGCCGGGACCCCCCCATTCCGGGTGTCCCCGCTGTCCCAAAGCCACATCCCCGCCCATCCTGGCTCACCGTGGGGGAAATGCTGTGCTCAGGGGAATTCAGGATTCTGAACGGAGCCGCCGTGTTTGGGTTTCCCGGCACCTCCACAGGGTTTAAAGCACGACTGCCTGTTAGAAATTCCAAATTTCAGCATTAATTGTTTTGGCCAAGCTGCTCAGGCCCCGATTATTTACGTGGCTACAAAAAGCACAGCACTGTGCTGGTTGCTGCTCTTGAACCACTGTGGTGCTCCCCTGGTGTGAAGCTCAGTGGGGTTGGAGCTGGCCCTTAAACTTGAGATCAGAGAGAATATTTTTCATATTTTATACACATTTGGCCTCCACAGTCTCTTTCTTGTTGGTAAGTGAGGCAATGGGGAGGACAGGACAGCTTGTGCAAGTGTAAAATGGGAATAATTCAAAAGAAGCCACTGAAAAACCTGGTAAATAACAGGGCAGTGGATAAGAAAAGAGAGCAAAATAGGGCAGAGTTGGGAAATCTAGCATTTTTCAGAAAGCTTGGTTTATTCTGGCTTTTTCTCCTCCTGAACATCTGCCCTCGGGCATGTGGAGGGGTGTGTGGGTCAACAAGGATGTGTGGGGAGCAGGAAATGCCACCCTGCAGGTGTTTCCATTATCCACGGGGCTGAAAATGTTTGGTCCGTGTCTGTTTTTTGCCACTAAAACAAAAGCCCAAAGTTCAAACCACAGGTTCAGTGATGGAAATTTCAGATCAGAGGGGATTTTATAAAAGCCAATTTTACAGCAGGAGGAGCGAAGGTGGATGGGGAATGTGCCAGCAATTAGTGACAAAGGGCTTCAGCTGAAGTGGAGACAATATTTTGAGTGGATGCATCACCTCTGATGCTGAACAGTGTTGTGGAAACAGAGTTTTTATCCCTTCCTGTTGGCACCGCTGGAATATCTGCTTTTGTTCCCTTGGTTCCCAACTTTCTCAGGAAATAAAAGCTCCATTGAGGCTTTGGGAGGTGTGGGGAGCCCTTCCCTGCCTGTGCCCTGGGAATCCGGGTCCTGCTGGGGCAGAGGCAGGGGGAGCTCGGCAGGATGGGTCCCTGGGCAGCCCCGAGGGGCAGCAGCTGGCTCTGAGCCCTGTCCCCAGGGTGTCCCCCCTGCACGGGGAGCCTGCTCTGCACACCTGGCCTTGGTGACCTCAGCACTCACACTGTCCCCTTGTCCTGCTGCCTGAGTCACTCCTGCTGTCCCCACGACACCTCCATTTCATCCCAGTTTATAGTGGTTTGCGTTGGTTTTTTGTTTGTTTTTTCTTTCCCAAAATTGCTCTCTTGCAAAATATCGTGCTGGTTGAAAAGCTGCTTTGTTCAGCTCTGGTTTAGGTTTATTTGCTGGTGTCGTGTTCAGAAACAGCCAGAGCTTGGACATCTTGTTCTGGAGCTCCTGGTGGAGTGAGAGCTGGGTCATACCCTGGGCCCTGCCCAGGAATTTCCAAATTTCCATCTGGTTTTAGACACAGGCTCTACCTTGATTCCAGACATTGTTGCAGTTCTATCCATTTTGTATTTCAGGCTTCAAATGAAATGCTTAGACCCTCTGTGGGAAAAGCTTTAATTCGCCAAGGGGAACAGGGCTGGTTTTGGGTGGCACAGCCTTGGCAGGGGAGTTTCTCTCGAGAAACTTCAGTTGTGTGTCTCTCAGACTCCCAGCACTGTTTTCTCTCCTCCTGCCCCGGTTGCCAGGCTGTAGCTGATGCCCAGGCCCCCCTGGCACAATGCCATCACGGACCAATCTCTCTGCTGGCATCCCCAGCAGCAAAGTGAAATATTCCAAGCTCTCCAGCACCGACGATGGATACATCGACCTGCAGGTAAAAACTGGGCAAGGAAGCTGGGAAACCACGAGGATGGGCAGCCTCAGCTTGGCCTTGCACAGGCAGCTGCTTCTCTGCATCTCTGGTGGAGCAGCTGCAGCTCAGGCAGGGGCGAAGCCTGGAGGGAGCCAAACCCTCAGCCCTTCCCCTCTGGAAATCGCAAAGAGCCTTCCTGGGAACAAGGCTGGGAGAAGGGGCTGGCTCAGCAGGGCCTCCATGGGCAGAACTCCTCCTGGAGGGCAATTCTGCAGCAGAATTCTGTCCCGTGCCAGCTGTGCCAGCTGTGGGGTCCCATCTGTGCCGAGTTCAGCTGTTCAGTATTTGGCTTTTTCCATCCAGTTCAAGAAGAGCCCACCCAAAATCCCCTACAAGGCCATCGCGCTGGCTGTGGTGCTCTTCATGATCGGGACCTTCCTCATCATCATCGGAGCCCTGCTGCTGGCAGGGTACATCAGCAAAGGGGTGAGTGCTTCACCAGGCTCCTGGCACTGCCCTCAGAGCTGCCCTGAGCCCTGCTGCCCATCAGGGGACAGCAAACAGCCTCAGGTCGCACCAGGAGAGCTTTAAATTAAAAATAAGGAAAGGTTTGATGGTGCAAAGGCCTGGCACAGCTGCAGGGGGAGTGTGCAGAACACAAGGATGTGGCACTCCAGAACATGGGTTTGGTGACCCTGGGGGTGGTGCTGGGTCATGGTTGGACTTGATGGCCTTGAAGGTCCTCTCCAGCCTCAGGGATCCTGATTCCCACCACAGCCTGTCCCTGGGAGGTGACATCCCTGTCCTGGAGAGATCTCAGCCCCTGCAGGGACAGGGAGGAGCTGCCAGACCCCGAGTGGGGCACGGCAGCGCTTCCCCACCTGGCTATGGCTGATCCACAGCAAGGGGATCTGCTCCTGCAGCTCTGGCTGCTTCTCCCCTGCTCCCTGTGGGCGCAGGGGGGTTGGCAGCCCTGCCTTATCTCTGGCAGCACAGCAGCCCCTGGAGCTATCAGCAGCGCTCCAGGCACGGAACCCTGGGCTCCTGCTCGGCCACGCTCACAGCTCCCAGCCCTGGCTGCACATCTGGGAGTCCCTGGTGAAGGATGGGGTGCCCTGAGGGTTCCTGCAGCAGGGAGGAGAGGTCAGGACAGGATTAAAGGCTCAGCCTGACGACAGCTGAGAGATTTCTGGTTTTTATTTCTCAGCTCGCCAGGCCATGGGGATGGATCGCAGAACCATGGGGTGGTTTGGATTCAAAGAACCTTATAGATCACCTCATTCTGAGAATTCCTTCACATCTCACCTGCCTTGGGCAGGGCAACCTTCCCCTAGAGCAGGCAGGGTGTGAGAGAGAGGAGCACCCCTCGCACAGGTGTTACTGTGATGCCTTGGGAAGGCTGAGCTGGAGCAGAGTTACAGAATAAAGCAGGGATTTATTCAAAGCATATCCTCAATGGATCCACCTTTGGCAGCACAAGAGCCAGGGCTGCACCCAAGGTGAACCAAAATGGTCACAAAATGAGCCTCAAAATGGTCACAAAATGAGCCCAAGTTGAACCCACAATGGTCACAAAATGCATGACTACTCACTTTGATCAGTTCTGCTCCATTTGCATATTGGGGTTAATTGTCCAATTCCAGCTCTAGGTTATGCAGTCCCATCCTCCTTGTTTTCCTCTCTTCATTCCACACTGTTTGTGCCCTTGGGTCTGAGATTTGTGTGGTTGTCCTCGGTCCCCAGCTAGAGCAGGAATTGTTTTGTCTCCCTGCTCTGTGCAGAGAGCCCACAACACTTAACGTGCAGCTCCGAGCTGCACCCTAAGGCAGCCCAGAACCTGAAAACCACAGAAGCTGAGCCCTGAGGCAGCCGTGCCCTGTGTGTGTCCTTGCAGGAGACCGACCGGGCCATCCCCGTGCTCATCATCGGCATCCTGGTGTTCCTGCCGGGCTTCTACCACCTGCGCATCGCCTACTACGCCTCCAAGGGCTACCGGGGCTACTCCTACGACGACATCCCCGACTTCGACGACTGAACCGTTAATTAACCCCGCGCTAATTAGGCTGCTCGGAGCTGGTAGTTCCCCTGGCTGCTGGCAGGGCACGGCTGACGTGTCCCTCGTGTCCCTCGCGCGGCGCCGCTTCCCGGCCCTGAGGTGTTGCAGGTTTTCCAGTTTGGGGGGTGGGGGCTCCAGCCCGGAATTGACCAAAAGGAATTGCAAAGAACTTGGGATTTATGGGATTTTTTTTTTTCCTCTCGGGGTTGGCGTAATTCCGCTCGTTGGGAAGCTCTTCCTGGGCGAGGCAATCCTTGCAATTTTCCAAAAATAGATGAGCTGGTTTCAGCAGCAGATATTTGTTTTTCCTGTGTTTTCTAGTTTATTTTAGCTTTCCATGAGATTGTGGTTATTGTTGGGTTACCTGTGAAGACAGACCATCATTAAATTCCCTTTTTGCTCTCTGTCCATCAGAAATGCTTCCAAACTACTGCTCCTGGAGTAAACAGAGTCTGATGGGAGGGGGAAAGCAGCACTTGCAGAAGTCATTTCCACACAGTGCAGTGGCTCCTCAGCCCTCTGTCACACTGACCAAGCTCATTTCCCCACAAATACCTCCTTCCCCAGCGTGCTTTCCCTGTGCCACTGTTGCTTTTGGCAAAATCTGCTTATCCTTCACAAGGACTAGTGTTGGAATTTGCTGGGTATTTAAACAACCAAATGGGTACTGGGAGAAGGATTGGAACCCAGGCTCAAGTGTCTAAATACCAAAAATCTTGACTGATGTGGGTATTGGAGACACTTGAACTCCAGCTCTCTGTCTTTTGGAGTCCTTGTGTAGATAATTTGCTGTGCAGACCTGCCCAGGCCAGTGAAGAGAATTTCTCTGTGCAGTTTGTGCTGAACAAACCCCTCTGGATTGCTTTGCCAGCTTTGCTGAAGTGTCATTCAGGGAAAACAGAGTGATGGCTCCACTTGTGTGAGGTCAGAGCAGGCTGTCTCCTGTTCTCAGTGTCCTGGACAACAAGCAGTGGTGCAAGTGGCTGCATTTAACATGAATAAAGTTCTACATTCTCTGTAAGCACAAGTTTGTCCTTCCCACCTTCACATGTGTCAGAGTGCACTAAAAACTCTCCTGGGCTCGGCTGCTGTTGGCTCCAGGTGCTGCTGGAGTGAGGGAGGCAGCAGCTCTGGAGGAGCCCCAGCAGTGTGAGGCTGCACAGAGCCCTCCACAGCTGCCACCTGAGCCCAGGTGAGCAGAACATTCCAGAAGGAGGGGCAGGAGGACTGACAGTGCAGAGCAGGCCCACGGAGGTGTCCACAATCAGGGCTGGACAAACACCTTGCTCTGAACCTACTCCTGGAATTGCCTTTTTTCCTCCTTCAGTGCTGCAGGTTAAACCCAATCTCCTTTTTTTTACCTGCCTCTCTTCCCTCACTTGTCCCCACTGCCCTGTGTGAGCCCCAGCACTCTGAGGAAGAGCTGGTTCAGTTGTTAAATTCAGGATCTCCCCTTCCACCTCGGGAGGTTCCCTCCCTGCTGCCAGCCCCAGCTGGGGTGGGACAGGGGACGAGGGACACGTGCTGCTGGCAGCAGCTGGAATCTGTCAATTAGAGCTGGCTCTGGCCAGGAGCTGCTGCTGACGTCAAGCCATGAATCAGCCTCTCCTAGGGGACAAAAACCTGTTTATTTGGGTTTGGGGAGCGGGGAGAGGAAGTGGAAGTTTAGATGGAAAAAGCAAAGAGGGTGGGAGAAGAGGAAGCATTTTGGGAAGGGAGGGTCACCTAAGTGGGATAAATGAAAGGGACAGGAGAAGGAACTGGACTTGGATGATCCTTGGGGGTTCCTTCTAGCTTAGGACATTCTGTGACTGTGATTCTGAGAACACGCTGACGTTCCTGGAGGAAAGGAATTGATGAATTTACTTGTCTTGGACAGAGGCAAAGTCCTCAGTGGATAAATAAGGGATGTGTGAGGGATGGCCAGATGAAAAAGTCCTCTCTTTTTATATCTAATAAAACAGCGGGTTTTATATCTAATTGGGAAAAAAAAAAAAAAAACAGCCAAATATAATTGGCCCTTCCCTTGGTTGTTTGTCCTGCTCTTCTTAAGATCTCTGCCCTAAGAGCTCCTCCAGGCCTCTGTGGCTGATCCTGGTGGCCTTTCCCCATTGCTGTCCTTGGATCTCCATCCCTTCAGCAGGTGGGGGACACCACCCAGCCCTTGGATCTCCATCCTTTCAGCAGGTGGGGGACACCACCCAGCCCTTGGATCTCCATCCTTTCAGCAGGTGGGGGGCACCACCCAGCCCTTGGATCTCCATCCTTTCAGCAGGTGGGGGACACCACCCAGCCCTTGGATATCCCTGGCCTCCCAACCACTGCAGACACCTTTGGTTTCCCCCTCCCAGCTCAGGGCAGTCCTGCCTTCACTTCCTGCCTTCTCAGCCTGATGAAAAGAAAATAATTTTTGCCCTTTTCCCAGGGCTCTGCGCTGAGCCAGCTGTGCTTCCCTGCTCCCACTCCTGTGTCCTGTGTGGAATGGGGATGTGCACGTGCACAGCTGAGCACAAAAGCAGCCTGAGGATTTTTAGGAATGCTGGGTTTGACTAAAAATAGTCCAGAGAGTCCACCAAGGCCACGACAGAGCCTCCCAAGAGAGCTGGCTTTGTTCTGTGGTGGAGCCAAGGGTCGGTGGGGGGGGCAAACTCGATTTTTGATCAGAAATTATTGTTTCCAATTGATTGAACTGCCTGGTTTGCTGCTCTGGCAGACCGTGCTTTGTGCTGGTTCAGGACTTGCTACCCTGAGGCCTTTCCTTCCCTGCTTTCCTGTGTCTAGGAAGGTGTTCAGGAACTGCTTTTAATCAGAAGAAAGGCAATTACTGGGAGCTCTGTTCTGTCTGGCCTGCATGGACAGAGCTTTGTCCTGATAAGAATCAGGAAGTGACATTTCCTTCCTCCACATTGTACTCAGGATTCTGAGCCATGCTGTTCTCCTCATCCCTGGGGCAGCACAAAGCGACCTCCCTCCCACAGCAACACACATCCATGAGATCCCTGCGGAGCTTTTCCAGCTCTGCACTTACAGAGAGGAACAAAACTGGGATGAATCTTATTTGAGAGGACTTTCAGCTCCTGTGAAACAGCAGGTTTGGCACTGAAGCAAAAATTCTGTGGAGGAATCGCCGTTTCATCCTGGGCTGTTAAAGCAAAGGGCAGCAAATCCACTAGTCACCACTAATTAATTTTGTTTTGAAATATTTACTTGGGCTGAAGTAGTAGCTGCTCTTAAGTCTTTAAAGGATTAGCTGCCTGCTACTCTTTCATGCCTGCAACCATTTATTGAAGCTGTTGCTGCAAATCATGCTGTTAACCTGTCATGAGAGGTTTTAACCTTCCTTCTCTTGTCAGTGAGAAATGCCTGGTGCAGATGGCCCTGCTGATGTGACAGAAATGAAACATCCAGTCAGGTCCTCTGGGCTCTTTCCCCAGCTTCTTCAAGGAGGGGGCAAGACAGAAAATGCATGTAGTGATGACTGTCTGCATCAGGGTGTTGCAAAGCCTGGGGAGGGGCTGTGAGGAGTTCAGGGAACAGGAACTGCTTGATGCAGGAGCATCAGTTTCTGTGTGTAGCAAAGGAAATGCTCTGGATCTAGAACAAATCCTAGAAGAAAGCTGAGAACTCACCTCAGCAGGGATTATTTCTTACTCTCAGGCATGTGTTTAGTGTAAAAGGGAAAGACCTCAGGTCATTAAACCTACAAATACTCATTAGCATTGACATATAATTTTCCAGCAGTGTTCATGAATGTGTCATTAGAAGAAGTCTGCCAGCTCCTATAATCCTCATTTTTCTTGTCTCTCAACACTAACAGTCCATAGCACAGCATGACCTCTTCCCTGCTATTTTGGGTGTTCTTTTCCAGACAAATGCCTTATTTTCTCTGTATTTGATACTGGAGGTCAAGAGAATCCTCTCTGCCTTTTATTGCACAAGAACAGAGGCAGGATTGTAACAGGGCCAGTGCAAATGTGTGCCTAAAAATAAACCACTGGATGGTCTCCAGCTTCAAACACAAAAAGAGTATTTGTAGAGGTCTCTCTGTTGCATGATCGAATTTCAGATCACTGAGGAGACACTTCAAAGTTCAGCTGACGAGCAGCTCGTGGTTTAATCCTCCCCATGAAACAAAGGCAACTCTTTGACTTGGATCCGTGGTCGGCTGCCACCCCGGAGCTGGCAGAGGCTGGCTCCGGATGGACCATCCCTGGGGCAGGGCAGTGTCCAGGGTGCTGTCCTGGGCTGCTGCCTCCCACCCTAGCCACGGGCCCGCAGCCCTTCTGCCACCTCTGCTGGAAACAATTCAGCAGTGGCAGGAGGGGCCAGAGCTTGCAGAACACTCCAGTGACACCGCTTGGCACCAATTAAGATTAGCAGAGAGGTGGCACTTCGGGCAGGGAAGGGGTTAACCAGCCACAGGGCACTTTTTAGGGAAGAAATTGGAGTTCATTGTTCCAGGCTCTCTGTGGATTTCTTTTTTGTCCTTTCATCTCTAACTGTTGGTTCTCATCAAAGGGGTTGCTAGTCCTTCCTCTTTGTTTTTCCTTGGCCTGTGCCTTCACCTGTGAGCAGCAGCACACAGGCAGAGATGTGCTGAACTATAAATAGAGGGCCTGGCCAGCCCTGTGGCATCCGTGCTGCTATAATTGCCACTCTGCACTCTCGTGACAAGCCCTGCTCCAGCTGCCCGGGCAAGGAGGAACTGCAGGGAGCCTCCACAGGCAGCCCCAGAGCTGGCCCTGCCCGTGGAGCTCTGCTGTGGGCCCAGTTCTCCCTCTGCCCCCACTTCTGCTTTTCCTGGGTGTGAGTGACCACTCCTGGTGTCTGCCCAGTGGGATTTGGGCAATTCAGGTTCAGCAGCTGCTTTGTAGAGGGCTCGTGGTGTAATTGATGCCTCAGCACCTTTGTTTGTTTTGCCTTCTGCCCCTGGCTGGAGGAGGCTGGTGTGTGTGTCACTCCTGATGTCACCGTGTGCTGCTGTTGCTATGTGCTCACACAGGGGATGAAGTGAGTCACGGGGTAAGAGTGACCCAAGCCCTCCATCCTTCCTCTCTGAGGAATGATTGCAAGTGGGTGAAAGCAGGGCCTGTGTCTGTGCTCTCACTGCTCTGCTGAGGGATGAGTAAGCAGCCACGAGGTGCTGCTACCCATGCTGTGCAGAGTGAAGGGCTCTTTTAGTCTGTGCTATTAAATTCCTCTAATGGACTTCAAGATTATTTAGTGCACCGTGTCCACCTCATTTTGGAAGTAGTTTAAGTAGGAATGAGCTGCTCTGGTCCTGCTTATCCAGATCTGCCCACAGCAGCTGCACTTTATTGCCAGAGCTTTAAACAGTGTGAACGCGACACAAGGTGACAAATCCCAGCTTGTCTCCCCCCTTGGAGACCATCTCTGCCCATGCCTCAGGGTTCAGAAGATCTAATGGAACAGAACTGCGAGGTGAGTGTGCCCAGGAGAGCAAAACCATCGGGAGCCATCAGCCCCGGGTCCTGCCGTGCTGCCACAACACCTCCGAGGCAGATGTGGCTCCAGGGCTCAGCACTTGGACAAGGAGAGCCCAGCAGGGGAACGGACCAGGCAGGACAAACACAGGCTGCTCTCCCGGCCCCCTCCTGCCCCACTCCTCCCAGGATTTAAGGGCTCATTTCAGGAGCCGTGCTTTTGGGAAGCAGCCCGGGGATGAACTCGGAGAGGTGACTCAGCCCATCTCCTCCTCCTCCTGTCAAACACGGGCTTTGCCCCTGACTCAGCAAGTGAAATCTCATTTGTCTGGTACAGCCCTGAGGTACCAGACAAAGCAGCAGCAAGAAAATTGCCTCTTCCTGCAGAGCACAGGCTGTCCAGCTGAGTTAGTGTCACCGGGAGCACTCTGGAGCACTCTCCCTGCCCTGGATTCCTCACAGGAATAGGAATATCCCGTGGAAGAAGCAGAGGGACCTGGGATGGGCTGTTTGTACTCTCCTGGTTGTGCTCTCCTGGTTGTTTGTACTCTCCTGGCTCCCACAACCTCATCTCCACTTCCAAAATATTTTCCAAACCCAAAGCTGAAGGAAGATCTCCCCTCTCCAAAAGCTGCCAGAGGGGAAACCACCGTGAAAGGAGCAGCAGGGACCCAACAGTCCTGCAGCCCCGCAGATCTCCGGTCCTGCTCACCTCCTGATTTATTCACGACCTGAATTCAGGCGCTGCCGATCCTCCCCCAGGGGCTCTGCCGCGTGGGTCGCCGGCTGGAGCCTCCATAACTTGAGAACTTGGCCCGCGATGCTCAGACCAAAAGCTCTCTGTGCTACCGAGAGCACTTTGCACTAATTAAACTTGGTAAAAATTATTCCTCTCTCCATTTTGCAGATGACAAACCGAGGGGTTGGGCTCGGCTGGCAGAGCCCATCTCTGTCCTAAGAAATAAACACTTTTTTCTGGGAAAGAAACACGGTTTTTTCTGACTCAATTTCCACCTGACACTGGGGGGAACAGCAAGTCATGGGTGTCCCCGAGATAATGCTGAATTCCTGTGGTCGGGAGTCTCCCACCAGCTGCTGGAGGTGGCATTTTAACCAAGGGCTGCTCACACTTGCTTTCCTCACCTCACAGACTGAAACCCAGGGTCTGCCCAGCTGCTCCCCATATTCCAAAGGGAGAAGCAAAAAAAAAACCCACTGTTGGTGAGCTGTTCATTTTTTTGAGCTTACCTGGGAGAGCCTCCACTCACCTCCTAGGCTGCTGCTGAAGTAGCAGGGGTTTCATTTCTATTTTGTGTAAATCAGTGGAAGATATTCCTGTGATCCATATACAGGAGTGCTGGGTTCTTCCCAATTGCTGGTTGCATCTGTGGGATTCACAAAGAATGTTATTAATCTAATGCCAGGCAGGCTGCTTTTTTTTTTTTTTCTTTTTTTTATATTATAAAAGCTAAACTCAAGACACGCCTAGAAAACAAGATTGGAAAGGAGCTATGGACCCCAGACCCAAAGCAATGATAGGATCATGGGATGGTGTGGGTCCATTGGAAGACTCCATCTCAATTCCACTCCCCTGCCAAGGATGAGGATGCCATTCACTGGACACCATCCCTGGACGTGAAGTTTTGATTTGGTCTTTTGGACATCCTGTGCTCAGATCAATGATTCACATCCCAGCCGAGACAACACTTGGGTTTAAAAATGGAAATTTTGAGTAAGAGGCACTGGCCAAAAACATTTCAGCATTGAAATTCATGCCAGTAACGCTTGTGCTGCATCTGAGGAAAACCCTGACCTGCAGCCCTGTGCTTTGATCCACACAGAGACATGAAGAAACAACCCAAACAAAGCTGGGGAATGTCCTCAGCAAAGCTTCCTTGGACTGTTTGGTGATAGGGTGCAGCAACACCTCACCTGGCCAGGTGAGTCCCTGAGTGAGCTTTGAGGAGCTCAGGTAACCCAGAAAAGATGGAGAAAACAGGGAACGTGTCTCCTTTTGGATCTCAAAGGTCAGCACACCAAAGGATTGATGACTGCTAACTCCTCCTGCTGCGTGCTCATGGAGGACGTGCACATCCCGTGGCTCCAATTCCTCCAGCTTTTTCCTGGATCTGTGAATCATTCAGGCAGAGAGAGATTGCATGTTTAGATAAATACCTCAGGGTTCTTCACTACATTTTAATAATGCAAATTATATATGCCACTAATTCCAGTAAAACTGTAAAATTTCTACTTCTGTAGCAGGACAGTGTGATGGGATAAAATGGGCTCTGACTTCCTGAGCAAGGGAAATTCCAAGGAATTTTCTCAAACTTTGCAGCACAGGAGGCCACCTAGAAGGGAATTTATCAATTTAAGGACTGAAAAAGGCTTTAGTAGGTTTGAGCCCATGGTTGCAGGGGCTCTAGCTGTGTCAAATTCAATTCTTGGAGCACTAAATCCTCCTTTATCATCCTTCTCCAGCTTGTCCTTGGGATTATCAGGACCTTGAGGTCTTTATCTGTTACATTTCAATCTGACTGATGTGTTTTCCCTGGCTGCATTTCCCTCTGCCATCTTTCACCTGGGGAGGGCAGGGTTGGAAACTTCTAACGCTCCAAAATAAGATAAACAGAGCTGTGTCTCTGTCCCTGATCCCGAGCACAGGGAGGCCTTGCAGGGACACTGAGCACACACGATCCTTCTTCCTGCACAAACTCCTGTCAACAGCAGAACTGCTGCAGCCTCCATCACTCTGACATTACCGAAATGTCCCTCCCGTCACCCCCCCCACGCTGACAAACAAAGGTTTTTTAATGCTTAAAAGCTGCTCTGAAGTCTGTGTCTACATTTGGGATAAGGCCAGGTATTGACTAATGCCAAGGATCAATATCCATAATCAAGCATTGTGCCTCAGCCCTGCCCTGGATAGTTCTCCATATGTCTCATTGGAAAAACCTTTTAGAAGCTTAACCAGGAGAGTGTTGGGAAAAAAAATATGGGAAGATAAGCACAAATGCTCCAGAGGCCTTGTAGGGTCTCTGGTCTTAAAGTAAGCTGCTGGATTTTAATGGGATGGGATAAAGCCCTCTTGGGGTGTGGTAAGCACATTTCTCTCTCTCTCTCAAGATTTTTCATAAAGGTGCATAGAGAGAGACTAAAGAGAAAACAATTTTTATTTCTGTTGTTTTTCTTATGTAAAATGTGTTTCTAGAATTGTCTACCTAGAGTGATCACTTGATTAGATTTTGGAAAGGATTGTTTGAGCCTGATGGCTAATCAGATCTACTTGTGTTTAGACTCTCAAGAGAGGGTCACGAGTTGTGAGTTAGTTAAAAATATAGTTAAAACAAGTAAGTTTGTAGTTTTTAGTATCTTCCTTTATTTATTAATAATATTAATAATTTTAATAATAATATTAATATATTTTAGCATAATTATAATAAATCATTCAACCCTCTGAACTGAGCCAGACACCATCATCTCTTCCCATCAGCTTTACCTACATTCACAAAAAGAGGGGGTGGGAGGGAAGGTTGGACAGCTGGTGAGCAAGCATTCCTGTTTGCCAAACACTGCACCAGCAGCAACGTTGGAAGCAAGGACCCGAAAGATCCACAGAGAATTCAGCAGGTCTGGCTGGAACAGGGCCCAGTTGGTGCCAGTGGCATGGGGAGCACTTTCCCATCGACTCGGGGCTGCACCTTGATTAAACAACAGCAGGGCTGGGGGAGAGAGCCCAGCACGGGTCAGCATCTCCTCAGGACAGACGGTGGAAGGAGAAAGGGCAGGAATCAGCTGAGGGGCTCAGCCCAGAGCAGCCCTGAGCAAGGCAAGGAGCCACGAGCTGATGTGTGTGGGAACTGCACGTTCTGGGAAGGGCAGGACACAAATTAGAGCGAGTTAACCTTGTCAGAAGCCATTAGGGACGTCAGATGTTGCCGAGAGGGATGTGAGAGAGGCAGAGTCCAGCGCTGGGTACCGAGCTGCAGACGTCAGCAGCACCTCAAAACACCCAGCTCTGTGGGCTGGGAGGGGGGATTTATCACATTTGTGTCACATTCGTGTCACATTCATGTCACATTGGTCCTGGCCCCCACCAGAAAACGGAAAATCTCTGGAAAATGGCATTTGTGGATGTGGTGGAGATGTCATCTTTTGGGGGACTCAGCTTAGCCTCCTCTAGTACAACAGGGGAGGTTTAGGTTGGCCATCATGAGGAACTTCTTCACAGAAAGGGTGATTAGGTATTGGAATGGGCTGCCCAGGGAGGTGGTGGAGCTACTGACCCTGGAGGTGTTTGCAGAATGGCTGGATGTGGCACTCAGTGCACCACTCTGGTTGGGATGGTGATGATTTGGCACAGGTTGGGCTTGACCTCAGAGGTCTTTTCCCACCTAAATGATTCTGTCCTTCTTTTGTTCCTCCCTAAACTCACTCTCCTGTTGTTAAAGTTGGATTTTTTACTAAAAGATAATAATTAAAAATACAAAAAGTAGGAAAGAAAATCCAAAGAGAAACCCTAAAACAAAGCCCCAAAGGGGCCCAGGGCTGAAGGCACCAGGCAAGCACATTTTCCTAGGGGCTGGAGAGGGACCCCCAGATGAGGGGCCCAATGGGGTTTTGTTTGGGGACCTCATCAATATCCGTCAATATCCATCAGTGTCCATCAATATCCATCCATGTCCATCAATGTCTCCAGGGAGGTGTCAGAGATGGAGCAGGCACTGCTCCCGGGGCCCAGCAGTGGGACAAGAGGCAACGGGCAGAAACTGAGGCAATGGAGTGTTCTACCTGAACACGAGGAAGAACTTTCCTGTGCGGATGACCACGTACTGATTCCTAGAACCAGAATAACAGAGTGACACAATCCCCTGGTTTGGAAGGGACCCAATGATCCGACTCACAGCACATCCCAACAATCCCACCGTGTTCCTGAGAGCCTTGTCCCAGCCCTGCCAGAGCTCTGCCATCCCTGAGGCCACGACCATCCCCTGGGGAGCCTGTCCAGCCTGCACTGCCCAGAGAGGCTGTGGGATGTCCTTCACTGGGATATTCCCAACCCGTGGGACACAATCCCAGCTCATCCCTGAGGCTATAACCATCCCCTGGGGAGCCTGTCCAGCCTGCACTGCCCACAGAGGCTG